CCCCCCCCTTAATATCTTTAAAAGGAAGTTTTGACAAAAGTTGAAGTCAAGCTTGTGGCACATTATTGCTTTAACTTCTCTTGCTGTTTTATTTTTAATGCTTGTTTTGGTATGTTCTGGAAGTAGCTGTGTCTGTCTGTACAGTGTGATGCCTGTGTCAGTGTTGTCTCAGGTTCACATTTGGCATAGTCAGCATTTATCATCTCTGTACGACTAATGTTCAGTTTCCTGCCAGTTGAGCAGTGAGCTTACAGGAACAAACAGGAGCGTTCAGTCTGTTGAGAAGCTGTTTTGTTAAAGTCAGGTTAATCAAGATTCATCATTCATGCTTTTTAAGTGTATAGTCTGATGAGTTTGACAAGTGCGCAGTCATATAACCGCCACCACAGTCAAGATAGAACATTTCCACTGCCCAGACGGATTCCTTGCGGCTGCTTCTGGCAATCATTTACCTATTTTCTGTCCCTGCAATTTTACCTTTTTTACACTGTGTGGAGTTGTAGACTATATAATTTTTCAGGTCCTACTTCTTTCTCTTGGTATAATGCTTTTGACATTTGTGTTTTCATATGTATTAGAAGTTCATTCCTTTTTACTGCTCAGTAATATTTCATTGTTCTCCGTTTTTTATTTTTTGTTTTTTTTAAATTCATTCAAGGTTGATGGCCAGTATGGCTACTATGACTAAAACAGCTTTGTTTTTCCATTTCATAAAAAGACATTCCATTGTGCTTATCCTAGGAATTCTTAAATTTTAAATAGTTCGGTACACTTGCATTTATGGTGTTGCTTATTAGATAAAAAGCTATAAACAGGGGCCAGGGAGATGGCTCAGTGGAATAAGCGCTTCCCTGGCAAGCGCAAGGGCCTGAGTTCAAACCCTGGTTCCGCAAAAAAAAAAAAAAAGCTATAAACAGGGGTGAGGGTGTGTAGCTCAGTGTTTAGAGCATTTGCCTAGCAGCAAGAAGCCCTAGCTTCAGTCTCCTGTGCTGCCTTAATTGGGGAAAAGAAGGATAAATTGCATCAAGAATATTATCTTCATCTTTGCATGTTACTCTGTTTTCATTTGTCTCTGATTTCCAGATGTTAATGTCCCCAGTTAGCAGATGGGTATATCAGGGTTTAGTATTATCACATTATCTTAAAACTAAAAAAAGAAAAAAAATGATGTGTCTGACTCAGTGCAATTGCTAAGGCTTAGAGGTGACAGAACTGCATGAGATCCTGCACTGTCAAGTATCAAAGCCTGTACTAGGCCTAGATCTCTGGCTGTCATCTCTGCCTTCTTGCATTACTAGGCAGTTGCTCAAGAGCTTCCGTATTGATTACTCAACGGGGCAGATGTAGCTGTACCAATACCCAGAGTGTAAGTAAAAACGTTTTTTGGCTGTACTGTACAGGGGTTTTGTATTGGGCGATATCTTCAGCCCGTTTTTAATTTGGTGCAGTCTTACTAAGTGGCTAAGCAGTCTCAAATTACTTTTTCCAAACATCTGTTTTGGAAAATTTCAAAGGTGTAAGTAGAGAAGATGGTATTTATCAGAGCTCTTCAACTAGAGATGATTTTTGCCCTCCAGTGGACATTTCACAATACCTAGAGATGTTGCTGATTTCCACAACTGGAGGGGAGATTGCTTCTTCTTTTTTTTTTTTTTTTTGGTGTAACTGGGGATTGAACTCAGGCCCTTGCACTTGCCAGGGAAGCGCTTATTCCACTGAGCCATCTTCCTGGCCCTGGAAATTGCTTCTGATTGGGGATTCTGGTAAACATTTTTCATAACACATATTACACAGGAACCCCCCCCCACACACACACACATACACACAATCTAAGTAGTATCTGGCCCAAAATAGTGCTAGGGTTGGAAACCGTTGGTGTGTAGTAAGCCCCATATACTCAACAACTGAATATTAGGTCTTACTTATTTCCTCTCCCAAGGACCAAATTTAGTAATCATGTAATTTCATTTGTATAGCTTTTAGAGGAAATAAGACCCCTTTTAAAGATGTATATAGGACCTGCGTTCAGTAGCTGGTACTACATGACATGCTGGCCACTGAAATCCGACTTGGTGGTGCATGCCTGTAATCCCAGAGCTGGGGAGGCTGAGACAGGAGGATCACTACAAGTCTGAACTGCATAGTGAGACCCTGTACCAAATAATAAATATTTTTTTTTAAATATTTATTTATTTTTTATTTATTACATTTATTTAGTGTGTGTGTGTGTGTGTGGCCAGCTCAGCCCACCAGGGGGCGGGGCTGGCTGGCATGTGGTGCTGGGGGATTGAACCGTGGTCCCTGTGCTTTGCCAAGCTTGTTCCAAGTAGGTGCTTTAGACCACTGAGCCATCTCTCCAGCCCAATAATAAATATTTTTAAAAATTTA